CCACCTCGTGCGGACGGGGTATCCCACCGGCGGCGTGCAGTTCCGTGCGGGGGTGCCGTTTGGTACGAGGGTGGCAGCCCCGCAGATCATGGACATCCCCAAGGTGGATTCGGTTCTTTCGTTCGCGAGGCACGTCCGGCCGTTGTACAAAATGTTCATCAAGGCTTTTTATATTCGGGGGGACTCGTCCGCAGCGCGCACGATTGTGCATATCTTGCGCAGTGTAGAGGCAGAAGCGTCGGACTTGGCGGAGAAGAGAACTAGGGCGAGGGCTTTAGGGCGAATGAGGCGTCGTTGCGTCCAGAAGGTTGGACCAGCAAAGCAGTTAAAAATACAGTAAGCCAACAGTAGAACATTCTCTAACACAGGGTTCCAATGAAAAGTGACAGTCCAGATAGTAAGAGAGTAGAGAGTAGTAGCATTTGATATGGGGGTGCAATCATTCACCATGGCAATTGAAGAGGAGGAATTGAATATTTGTCAGAACTGCCTGTGGCTCCGCACTCCCAGATGGATGATCTGCAGATATTAACGATGTCGATATTCCATAGATAAAAGTACAGCGACGAACGTCAGTGCCGACAGCTCTACTAAAGCTCACGTGGTAAACTAAATACTAAAAACCCAGAGATGCAGCCGCAGTCTACATTAATCCTGCTGCGCGCAGATCCCGACGCAGTCTTTCCTCCGCCTCGGACAGAGGTACGGGCGTTTCCTCCACGCGCCGATTTTCGTGACCATCCTCCGGATTGTAGTCGAATATTCCGAACACGCGCTCGATGTTGCGACGAATGTCCGCGTCGTGCTGTGTTTGCTCGGCAGGGGTCTGGGGTGGGGGCTCCGCAGCGTCTCGGATAGATTTCTCCCAACGCTTGACACGGTAAAAATTAACGATAGAGGATAGAACGAGGAACCAGCCTTGGTACACAACTTATTAATGTATGGAGAATGCATATGGTCATCCGACGCACCTAGAAGGATAAGCAAAATAGACATCCAGTCTCGGGACGTTGCACCCATCTCGGACGGCGACATGTCCATGTATGTCTCATTGGAAAACAGCGCCGGACCTGCATCGCCCTGCTTAACGACTACAGGTAGGCCCGTCGTTGCGTTCCAGTAGATGAGCTCTTGGCCGACGCCGCCCTCACCCTCGTCTTGGGCCGTCCGTGAGTAGAACCCATACTGGATCATGGTCAACCCGAGGCCGGTGCGCGATCCATATTTAGCCGCGTGCGTCGTGTGCAACAGGTATGTTAGGACGAAGCCGACGAATTGGAAGAAGTAGGATATGAATGCGGTTGAGACGAAGAAGATGAGCGAGCCCGTCGGGAGGTCATCCACGATCATTTCGCCGGCAGCGGCGAGGACGGAGGGAGCGTGGACTGTCATCTCCCAGTACGCCGGGGCGGCGTCGGCTTGGGCTTCAGAGTATGTCTGGACATTGAAAACAGCATGAGTGTGTGTAACAGTGCTGAATGATGGGTATAGCAACGTAGTATCCGCAGTCATCCGAGAGAATGTTATAGCCATCGGGGTCGTTGAGGGACTACAAAGGACAGAAACTCACGGGGGGTCTCTCATTCTGCGCGTCTTCGGGGACTAAGATTACCTCTCCATTCTCGTTCGTCACTGCCACCGACCGCGCAGGTTTGGCCATCACGTTCGCAAACACGCCATCATTCTCTACCCCCCCTCCCCTCGTACGCATACTCGTCGGCTCAGTGGGTATCCGGGCGTAGTGCTGGGGAAGCAGTACGCCCACAGCACGCCTGAAGAACGATGGTCGCGGGGGTTCAGGGCGGGCGGGAGATAAGGGGATACTCCCGTTAGTGTTCCCAAAGTCGTTGGGCATCGCGAGGGCGGTCGGAACGGGAGGGGAGCCCGGAGGGGGCAAATCGTAGTCGTACTCACGCTCGAAATCATACGAGCCCGGGGTAGCAGGAACGAAGTGTGATTCTGTGGGACCTATATGGCGGGTGAGAGGGGCATGCTCGCTATGCTCGTCGTCGTCGAAAGCATCCTCCAGTTCGCGCTCAGCATCCGGCTCAAAACGAGGGTTAGGGAGGGGGGCATAGCCAGCCGTCATGCTGGCGACTCTAGGGATGGTGATGCTGCTAGGTAGGTGGTCTATAAGTTACTAGATCAAAGTTAGATGGAGAGCTGCTGTGGCGGCGCTGCTGGACAGTTGCCTCGGGCGCCTATCCTGCCTATCCCCTTTGAGTCAATATGATCTATCTCAGGCTATTCTTCTCGGAAACTAGACAGCAGATACATCGCAAATCACCAACCAACAGTACATGCAAAGTCTCATCGAAATGACATCCGGCCTGCACCGAGCAGTAACCTCATGTGTATTGAACCGCCTTGCACTCGTATACACGCATGGTATCTCCGCTCAGAGCACCGGTCCGACATGACACATATGAGGGAGGGGACAGCCAATAAAAAAAATCCTTGCAAGCCATTACAACAAACCTAGCAAAAATATACATCGCTGTTGCATTTAAGGAACAAGGATTGATGTCATCCTAGGATGCCCTTCACATATCGCAATAGATCTTTGCCCTGGAATGGAATATGTCAGCACCATATACTCAATAGCAACGAGGATGAAGCTTACACCACGGCTCTTAACGCCAGCCATCATGGCCTCGACACGATCTACCTCCGCCGATGACGCCTGCATATCATCATGCCCGCCGTCGTCTGCCACCGAGCCACTCATGCCCCGGCTGCTTGGAGTTCTGTGCAGCCGCTGCCTTCGCGCAAGACCATGCCGCAGCACCACGGTCAAAACAGCGCGCCATCCTTCGACCGTGCTGGACTGCGCCGCAGCCTGAGTTCCGACCGGCGGCTGTGGCATGAACGGCACGTCTGTCGACCGTACGACATACGGGCAATATGACCTGTGCTCCCGCAGCACATCTAACTGTCTCCCCTGGACCTTTTCCCCCGTCGTACTATTCATCTGCGGCTTTGAGATGAATGCCCAAAGCCCGATGCGCCTCTGACACAACGCGCAATGGAGCAGAGTTGTATCCGGTTTAACCGAAGGCGCAAACATTGGAGGCGTTATCTCCAGACTCGACCGTAAAGGTGAACTGGGTGTTGTATCTCTCGGCGCGCTCGCGCGCAAAGACGTCACTGAGTTCGTGCGCGAGAGTCTCCGCGCAGGAGTTGCGGGAGCAACCGAGTTGGCCCGAGATAATGATTGTATTCGCGATCGTTCTTGGTTTGGTGTTGGAGGCAGGATCGCCCAGCCGAAAAGGGAGGTTATGATGGCAATGTCCGAAGGCTCTGAGGGCACAGAAGGTACTGACGGGGAAGTCAGTGGCTCCTCTGGACAAGAAGAGTTCAGGACCAGTGATATAGTTGAGAGAGTCGAGACCAGCGACTGGACCTGGGATACTGTCTGAAGTGGCATCGTTAAATTGCGCTGACGTTGTCTCGAGTACGGTGGTAATCACCAGAGGATGTTTGACCTCAACGTCCTGCAGAGCATTCTCTAGAACCGCCGCTCGGGACTTTATCTCTTTCGCCATTGCAGCAGGAGTTTGCAGAGGTATTCTATATATCGAAGCTGGAGGCAGTTTCAGCATACAATTACTCACTCGATGCAAGGTGCGCACCATCACACTGTCTGGTTTTCCATGGACATCCATCTTTGTGCATCCCAACGAGCGAGACGCGTTGCTTCTCGATCAAAGTGTTTGCTGCTGAGTGGTCAGCCTTCCACACCTACCTGCCTTACCCATCCCACATACCAGCTTCTCTGCTCAGGCCCTCACGTCCCGCAACGACCCATGCAACATTACAAATTCCACATACCAGCCGGTCCTTGCCGTCGTTGACCCATCCGCATTTCGCCGCAGCAACAGCATCGATGGAAGGTGGCTTATTTACATATGTTGCGAGCTTGAAAGTCGCAAGGCGCGCGAGGAAAGACTGCGTTGAAGACGGGCGGTATTCCGTCGCCGAAGGGGTGGACGCGGTGTTCTGGTGGGCCTTGAATGGGATGTTTTTTCTTGTGCGGGTAGCGGTACGCGTCAGGATAGCTGCTAAATGAGGGGCGGTCTTCGCAAGAGTCGCGTATTCGTCGACGGGCCCCGCTCTGCCTGAGTCGTTAGACCCTGAGTGGTCCAGATTTCGCGCGCAACTCACGGCTTCGCCTCCTTCTTAATACCATACTTTGCCAACGTGGCATACAACGAATGCCCCACTCGAATCTTCTTTGTAGGAGGTGACTGTTCATATGAGGGGCTGACTGCTTCGTCGAGAGTATGGATGGCATCTTCGAGCTTGCGCTATAAAGCACCGTTAGTCGTTTACCCTAGCGTGCCAGTCACAACGACAGACTTTGATGTTCTTCCCTGAATCATTCGAGGTCGTCGCTGA